CAATATGATGTTGAAGGTAAAATTTGGAAGATACAGGACATTGTGTAACACCAAAGAGGAAGATAGAGCAATAGTACCAGAAATAGAAGCTATGGAATGAGAACCAGTAGGAAGACAGACAGAAATGGGTGAAATGGATTGGTAAGAAGAAAATAAATCTAAGGAAAAGTAGACATGATCAGTAGCACCAGAATCGATTATCCAAGTACTGGAATGTGGAGAAGGAAAAGAGTGACAATTACCTTTAACTGAGGAGATTGAAGTAGATACGTGATTAATAGAAGCAGAGGCAGAAGGTGGAGATGGACTTAGCAGAGTTAGGAGACGTTGGTATTGCCCAGCAGAGAGTTGAGGAAGGATAGTCGCTGTTTGTGTTGAGTGATGAGGAGGGAGAGGCTTAGCAGGATGGATTTCTTGAACAGAGTCAGAATCTTGAGTCAAAAAATTATTCACAGAGGCAGAGGAACCATTGCGAAACCTGAAACCCAGTGGAAAACCATGCTTTCTATAGCATGTTTCTTCAGTATGCCTTGGTTTCCCACAGTAGGTAAATTGTTTGGTGGTACTCTGTTTTGAACCAGTGAAAGAACCCGCAGGAGAAGGTCGTGAACCCTTAGTAAGCATAATCTTGGGCTCTGGAGCAATGTGAAATTCGTGTTCTTGTTGCAATATAAGGGAAAAGGTTCGAGTAATGGAAGGTAAAGGATCAAGCATCATAATTTGAGACTTTATGGAAGCATATTGCTCGTTAAGTCCTTTGAGAAATATGATCACGTAGTCTTCCTCTCTGTGCTTAGCAGCAGATCCATGGGAGGAACACGCACAGGGCTTGATCGGACGAATACTAGAGAGTTCATCCCAAAGGATTTTAAGCCTAGTATAGTACTCCGTAACACTCAAATTTCCTTTCTTCAGACTGTGTATTTCTTCCTAGAGATCGGCGATGTGAAAAATGTCAGACTGAGAATAACGAGAATAGAGATTAGTCCAGATGTCGGAAGCCCGATCAAACCAAAGGATTCTCTTCGCAATGGTAGGAGAAAGCAATTTGGTGAGCCATCCTTGCACCAGGTTGTTACAGCGCTCCCAGTATGGAAACATCAGGTCAAAAGCGGAAGGAGGAGGAAGAGACCCATCGATGAATTTGAGTTTATTTTTGGACAAGAGTGCCATGCGCATCGATCTCGCCCAGGTGTGATAGTTCGAACCATCAAGCGGCGGTGCAACCAGAATCAATGCGGGATTTTCATTGGGGTGTATGTAGTAAGGAGAGGTCTGATCAATGGAAGGAGAGGCGGTGGTGGATTCAGAGACGACAGAGTCGGCCATGGAAGCTCAGAGAGAGGAAAGTAAGACCGAATAGGGTGAAGGGCAGAAAAGGAAGAGAGAGAGAGAGAGAGAATTATGCTCTGGATACCATGATACTAACCGAAAATGGAGAAATGAATATCTTACTTTATTACTCTTCTTAACCAAGTATATATATACATGATTAATATATAACAGAAAGATAACAGAAATTAGTTTCTAACTTAATAACAGATTAATTCCCTAACATTTAATCTGCAAAAATAAAGTAGAGAGCTGAAAGTCAAATGATGGAAAGAACAAGGAAAAAAGAAAAGAACAGAGAGAAGAACCTAAGGCAAAAAATGAGGCCCCAACACCACTAGAGCCACAACATATGAAAGAAATACAGTATGTTCAGTGAGAAATGGAAACCACTTTTCTTCAGAGGATGAATTATATATATCATTGTATCATTGTTTAGATACAGCCACCTGGACAAAGTTCAAGTAGTAAAACAAGTGAGTTTGGGGAAGAGGTCTAATACTACCTCCAGTCTTATTTATAAGACCTTGTTTGTAGTCTACAAATGAAGTCTTATAATTAGGACCGGAAGTAGTAGGATCGATACTTCCAACAAAAAGGGAAAAAATTATATAGGAAAACTGAGTACCAATAACAGCAGCAGATCAGCAGATCATTTAAGAATTCCCACATTTTTCTAGCGATACTTTCTAATCTGCTGGTTATGAGGAAGTGAAATCTGATTATAAACATTTGGTACTCCTAATGGGGTAAGGGAATAAATTCAGACGGTTCCTCATTGTTTCGGATAGTGAAGGTCGACAGTGACGCCAGGAAGGGGGTAGAAGCAGGTTCGATTGTGAGAGTGAGAAGCCTTACTCTTTTTCTTTTAATTTCAAAATAAATAAATATATATATGGAGCTGAGTTGGAAGCACAAACACAATTTTTAATGCCACGTGAGATGACTCAATGATGATTCAGCATGAGTTATGAATAATAATGACCGGATTGTAAATTTTGAAAAGATTAGCGAGTGGGTTTTAAGCGAGCCAAAAGTATAAGAACTGATGAGTTGAGCCAATTCATATTTAAAGAATTGAATTATAAGTGAGTCAACAATTTTAAAGACTTAAAAATTAATTTTTTCTATTTTTTATTGCAGAAATTTTTAGATGGCATAGTTTTGTTTTTTGTTTTTTTTTAACACGACTATTTGGTTGATGAGTCTAATTCGAGTATTGTTGAGCTCAACCCCCAGAAGTAGTTGTCCCAGCCAAAAACGTTTAATGTTGACATATTTCTAAGACTCACTAGCACCGAAGCATATGCTTGGATTAAAAAAACACTTGGTAAGTATTTACATACCACTCATGAATTTTTCATAATTAACTACGGACATACAAGGTCAAAAAAAAGAAAACCAGGCGTAGTAGCTCTGGTCTTTATGGGGTGTTTGGATAGAAACCAAACCATGGTTTCAGAAGTGCTTTTACGGTTTACGAAATAAATATGTGGAGGAATTTGCCTTATTTTACCGAAAAGTGCTTCTGAAACCATGGTTTGGAGGTTGCCAAACCATTACGAAGTAATCTACGACCTAGATGATTAATTTAAAAAAATTGAGAAAGTCATTAAGTTACTTCAAACTATTTATATTTATTGTTTTTCTCCGGCCAAACTAATTTACCTCACTTATAAATTACTATATAATCTAATAATTTACAGAAGTATTTTAGATACTACTATAATTAAGTAATTAACTTTCTTAGGGTCTGTTTGTGAGAGCATTTAGGCATCCTATACATGTGATTGGATGAGAAAATGTGTGATCCATAAAATTGTCGTGTTTGGGTTGGTGGTGGGACAATCTAACTTTTGCATAAAAAACTACAATAAGTATAAACAGAAATTTGGTGCTTATGTGCTTGTTTGGTAGGACATTTGGGGGGAGGGGGAAGTAGCTTATATGTGTAATTAGTTATTTTGCAAATTTGGGAGTTATTTGTCACAACTTTTAGCTAATCTAACTTGTGGATCAAAAGCGGGTTTTTTAAGCATCATTGCAAAAGTATATAAAACTTACTTATAATTTATGCAGCTTGTTAGAATTAAATGACATTTTTACCCTTATGTTTATTTTATTCTTATGCTTTTCTCTATGTATTCCTTGTGCTTTCCAATCAATTTTTAATTATTTATTTTTAATATTCTTTTAAGTGAAAATATTTTTAACAGTTTTTATAATATTTTTTATTTTTAATATTATTTTTTATTTTATATTTACATAAATTATGTAGAGTATATTATCCAATTAATTATGTAATGCTACTTGGTTTAAAAATTTTCACATTACTATGATTTCTAATTTAAATATATTTTATTCATTAAATATTATTTTTTCCTATTATAATAATAATTTAAAATTATTATATTTTGTAAATTTATAATTTTAATTATTTTTTATTATTTAATAAAAGTCATACCTATTTTGGTCATTTTATTAACTAAACTTACTTAATCATAATCCAAGTAACTTTTTTACTTTACAAACCAACTTTTATAAAATTCATTCCAAATACAAATCACATTATCTAATTTAACTTTTACTTAATCTACTTTTTTAAAAGTCATATTAAAAACAAGTTATTTGTTCTACTGTTAATCCAAACGGATTCTATGACTTTTGACTTTTGGTTTTTGAAACATGGAAAGTTAATGAGTTAAAAAAAGAGTTGGGTCTGACCTTTAAGAAATTTACAATTTTCTCTTATTCTTATATAAGCCTCAAATAATAAATTTGTGCAAAAAATAAATTAAATTTACCTGAAAATAATAAATAAGTTAGAAACATATTTTTGTTTCTAAATATTTCCTTAAAATATATGAGAAAAATTATTAAAAAAAAAGTATGGGAAAATATAGAGAGAGAGAGAGAGAGTATGGCAAAGATGATAGTAAATAACTAAGGATAAAATTAAAAAAAATGTTAATACAAATCTAAATTAAAGCTTATAAAATGGATCATGCTCCTCCACAAATTTAAATCTTATAAATAATTTAAAATTATTATACTATGTACATAGATAATTTTTAATTTTTTATTATTTAATAAAAGTCATTCTCATTTTGTCAATTTTACCAACTAAACTTGGTTATTGAATTATAATTCAAACAACTTACTTTTATAAACTAACTTATTTATAAAAGCCAATACAAATATAAATCATATTATCTAGTCTGACTTTTTCAAAAGCCAAATTGAAAATAAATTACTTTTTTTTTTACTCCTAATCTAAACAAAGCATTAATCTTTTCAAATTAGCCAACTAGTATTTTTATTAAGGAGGGGATAGTTGTATTGAAACACACACATTCTAATAATAGCAAAACTGGTTTTCTAGAGCAGATTGGAGAAAAACCCGCAGGATTAATCCTCCATGAACCAAAACAGTTCACCGACCAAATCATGAAACTGTGGCGTGAGAAAATTGCAGTACATAGAATAGAAGCATTATAGTTAGTGATTTGACAGTGACTAAACATGATTCAACAAACTTTCACCAACAAAATCACCCACACACTCCAAGCATGCATGACCAGAACCTCATGTCATCATCTCTCACACTTTATATAAACCCTAACAACATGTTCATCATAACTCACGGTACCACACAATAATAATATAATATGGGAAGCTTCATGGAGATGCAGATGGAGGAGGAGTTCATCTTCCGGAGCCCTCATTCCGGGGTAGTCACGGTGCCGGACAATGTGACGCTGCCGGAGTTTGTGCTTCAGAACTCAGAGTTGTACGCCGACAAGGTTGCGTTCGTGGAGGCTGGGAGTGGGAAGGCGATCACACATGGCCAGGTGAAGAGGGACACAGAGAGGTTTGCCAAGGCGTTGAGATCTTTGGGTCTGAGGAAAGGGCATGTGGTGATTGCAGTGCTTCCCAACGTTGCTGAGTATGCGATTGTTGCTTTGGGGATTATGGCGGCCGGCGGGGTGTTCTCCGGCGCGAATCCGGCAGCTCATGCGTCGGAAATTAAGAAGCAGGCTCAATCTGCTGATGCGAAGCTCATTGTCGCAAATGGACTCAACTATGAAAAGGTGATCATATATCGCCGAACACAGAAGATTAATCCTTTTCTTTCCGGGAAAATTAATTTTTAAGCCCTCATACTTTCACTTGATTTTCATGGACTCAAAAAAAAATCACTTGATTTTTATCAGATTTCTTTTAATTAATTCCGTATAGTTTTAACAAATTTTAATTAGATTCCTGTAATTCTTTTTCCTTTTTAATAGTTTTTTTTAGGATTAAGGTACAAATTTATCTCGAAAATTTTTATTTTGGAGCATTAGACACTTTAAAATTTTTTGGGTTTAATATTAACCAAAAAAAATTTAAAATCATAGTAATTTTACCCTATACTATTAAAAATATTAACAATCAACGTTAGATTTTTAATAATAGAAGGCAAAATTATTACCATTTTAAACTTCTGAAGTAATATTCAACCTAAAAAACTTTTGGAAAAATTCTAAAGTAAATTTATACCTTAGCCTCCAATTTTTACGGGTATTTACCTGATTTTTGTTCAGATATTTGTAGTTTTTTCATCAGTTTTTTATATTTTCACATAATTTTATAGTTTTAAGTGATTGATAAAAAAATAATATGACTCTGATTGAAAATCAATGGACATTATAAGATTTTGATTACGGCCAAATGATTAATTAACATCATGTGAACGATAAAAATATGACAAAAAAGCCACACAAAAAACAACTAAAATTTAATAAAAAAATTAGATGAAACCAAAGTGATTTACCAATAAAATTTTCCTTTTTTCAGGTAATACTTTTATTCTAATAGTTTAATGCAAGTTTCGATACATGGATTCAATCCGTTCGACCTATTGTCTCTGAGACTTGACACTGTACTGTAAACAACTCAGGTCAAAGCTGTAGGACTACCGGTGATAGTCCTAGACGACGAACCCATCGAGGACGCCATGAACTGGAAGAAGCTTCTAGACGCGGCGGACCGAGCCGGCCAAACCGTTCCGAAAGAACCGATCTCACAGATCGACCTCTGTGCAATGCCTTTCTCCTCAGGAACCACCGGACTCTCAAAGGGCGTCATGCTAACTCACAGAAACCTCGTCGCCAACCTCTGTTCCACTCTCTTCGGCGTCGAACCGGAAATGGTGGGTCAGGTCACCTCCCTTGGGTTGCTCCCTTTCTTCCATATCTACGGCATCGCCGGAATCTGCTGCGCCACCCTGAGAAACAAAGGCACGGTGGTGGTTATGGGACGCTTCGAGCTGAGGACTTTTTTGAATGCTCTGATCGCTCATGAGGTCAACTTCGCTCCGATCGTCCCTCCGATCATTCTGAACTTGGTTAAGAACCCGGTCGTCGATGAGTTCGATCTCTCCAAGCTCAAGCTTCAGGCAGTCCTCACGGCCGCCGCTCCTCTTGCTCCGGAAGTCCTCACCGCATTTGAGAATAAATTCCCTGGTGTTCTGGTCCAACAAGTGAGTTCATTGTTTCTATTTATATAGTGCCACTTCATAGTTTGATCGTAATTATAGATAAAATTAATCTTTTGGTCCTATAATATTCACTGATTCGATACTTTTCACTAATCAATAATCTCTAAGCTTCAACGCAATGCAACTTAGTCTTTAAAATTTTGCCTTGTTATAGTCTATGGACTTTGACTTATCATATTTTAGTCCCTAGAGTTTTAAATATTTAAAACTAAAACTACTGAGGTTTAGTATTTTAAAGATTAGAGAATGAATTATAACTGAGTTAAAACTATAACAATTAATTAAATTGCATTGAGTTAAGGTTTCAGAACTGAGTTAGTGCATGTATCAATAGTTAAAGTTTAAATTCTGAGTTTCCCAGTCAAAGTTCACTGATTGTAAGGACAAAAGATTAATTTGTTCATGATTATGTGTGTGTATCAAATGTTAAAGCGTAGATATTGTTTTGTAGGCATATGGACTAACAGAACATAGCTGCATCACACTAACTCATGCACACAAAGGATTAGCGAATTCAAAGAGGAACTCAGTGGGTTTCATCCTCCCTAATTTGGAAGTAAAGTTCATTGATCCTGACACAGGCAAGTCCCTTCCGAGGAACACGTCCGGCGAGCTTTGCGTGAGAAGCCAGGCCGTCATGCAAGGTATGCACGTAAAAAGATCTTATATTAAGAATCGAAAAACAATCGGACTAAGATGATGAGGAAAATTAAATTGGGTGTGTGTGTGTGTGTTGCGTTTTCAATAATTCAGGTTACTACAAGCAGGTGGAAGAGACTGCACAGACTATTGATAAGAATGGGTGGCTTCACACCGGAGACATAGGCTTCATTGATGATGACGACAATGTGTTCATTGTTGATCGTATCAAGGAGTTGATTAAATACAAAGGTTTCCAAGTATGTCAGCCTCACACCCATTATATACTTTTCTTTCAACGCAGGGCTTTTTTCCCCTATAAGGTGCCGAAAATGGGATTGGTTATTAAATTAGTGGTCGAGACAGTAGTTCAAATATTAATAGTAACAATAATAGAATTAGGGTCAACCCAGTTGATATGATAATAATAGAATTTAATTAAATATACAAAAATATTCTTATATAAACTATAAAGAGTAGTAATTAAATAAAAGGAGATTAATTGGTATATAAGTAAATTAAACATTCATATATAAATCACACGTAATCCAATAAATAGAGTTACTAAGGAACCAGTTTTAGTGCTCATCATCTTGATGAACATCTTAAAATTATCAAATCTAGACTGTTTATAGTTGATTTGAACAATACGGATTTAAAATCTTTAATTAATTATTTTTGAATATAAAAAACTATTTTTTAAAAAAAATAATAGTTAAGAGATTATTTCATTTTTAGATTATATATATATTAAAATAACTATTGTGAACAAATAAAAATGAAAAAAAAAATCAAATCCGGACCATCCAAATAAGATATGAACAATTAAGATTTGATGAGTTTAGGGTGCTCATCAATTTGATGAGCACCGTTCCTAGTTACTAAAGCATAAATCTAACATACTAATACTTTTTTTTTCCACTCAAAATAACATCGTTTCAATGATTTCACCCAATACTCTTGATTGCACCTGTCTATGGACTGATTTACCAGCTCACTTTTCCAAATGACTAGTCGGATTGGGGTTTAATTCCATGATTTTCCACCAATTTGATTAATTCCAGCTTTTGTAAACTCATACAGGTTGCTCCAGCGGAGCTAGAGGCCATTCTTCTATCACATTCTTCGGTTGAAGATGCTGCTGTCGTTCCGTAAGCAACAACTAATTAATTTTATATTCGAATAACTAGTTAAATAGATCTAATTTACAATAATAAATCAATTAATTAATGATGGAAATGGTTTAACTCCAGAATAGCAGATGAAGAAGCAGGAGAGATCCCAGGGGCAAGTGTGGTGATGTGCGCAGGTGCAAAAGAGAGTGAAGAGGACATGATCAAGTACGTTGCTTCTAACGTTGCCAGTTACAAGAAAGTGAGAGTTCTTCACTTTGTGGACGCCATCCCTAAATCTCCTTCTGGCAAAATCATGAGGAGGCTCGTCCGAGACAGAATGCTCCAAAACATGACACCTTCTCATTCAAAATCTGCCTAATAACTCCTACGATCGATGTTAATTATATGTAATATGGCCGTGTGTGTGTGTTTCATCATATCCTCGTACAACACCAGTTTCCCTAATTTAACGATACTCTTTGAAATTATGATATATAAATAATAATTAAGTACTCTTTCTCTATGCGTAAGGCGTTGATGATATCATTTTTAGAGTTTTTGTTGTGTAACTAATAGCAATATACATGGTTAGAATTGTGCGTTGATCATCGCATAATTGATTGTGTTGTTAATATATGATGTGTTATGTGATAATGTAATCAAGTAGTTAGCATTGTCACTAACTTATAATCTAGTCTAGTTGTATCTGAACTAATCATAATCAGTCTTGTACAGCTATACTCTACTCACGTGGACCTATATATATGTGTACTATTCACCACTCATTAATAATATAATCAGATCATTCACTCATATACTTTCTACATCTCTCTCTCTCTGTGATTACTTTATGGTGTCAGAGCTGTAAAGATCCATAAGCCATGTCGTCCTCATCTACCACGCAACCTTCTTCCTCTATTGACTCTCAAACCAAGAGAGATGTAGTCACATTTTCACATCTGGTCTCTGTCAAACTTGACGAGAGCAATTTCTTGATCTGGAAACATCAGATCTTCTCTGCCATTAGGGGACATGATCTCCACCATTTCATTGATAAGTCTGTGAAACCTCCGGCACATTTTCTACCAAACGATGATGGCTCTGAAGGATCCAGAACCAATCCTGCATATCAAAACTGGGAGCGCCAAGATCAGTTGCTTGCATCTTGGATGTCATGTTTGATGAGTGAAGCCAGGCTCACAAGAGTTGTTGGATGTGAAACATCACTCCAGATCTAGGAAAAGATCCTCAATCATTTTGCATCTCAGACACGGGCAAAGGTTCGCTAGCTGAAATCGCAACTCAAGAACACAAAGAAAGGAAATCTTTCTGCTAATGAATATTTGCTGAAAATTAAAGCTATTACTGACACACTTGCTGGAATTGGTCATCCGTCGAATGAATCTGATCATATTGAGGTCATTTTTTAGGGGCTCACGGAGGATTATGATCTGTTGATCATTGCCATTACCACAAGGCCTGATCCATACATAGTTGATAAATTCGAATCACTACTCATTGCTCAAGAAGCAAGGATCAAGAAGAATCATAAAGTTCCTATAGTGGAAACAGCCAATCTGGCTCATAGTAGACCTCCGAACAAAGGAGGTGGCCGATCACGAGGTGGTAGGAACAATCATGGTCATGGACATATCAATCAATCTGGTTCATCAAATAATCAGTACAACAACAAACGCATTGATATATGCCACATCTATGAAAAGAGAGGTCATAATGCTCGTGACTGTTGGTTTCGATATGATGAATCGTTCCAAGCATTGTCTCTGAATGATGAGAATACTAAGAAGTTGCAAGATGAAAATTCGTTGCTCACTACACCTGAATGCATTGCTGATGCTGACTAGTACCTGGACTTAGGAGCCACAAGGCATGTCACTCATGATGATCAAAACATTACAAATAAAGCAAGTACAAAATGTGTTGACAAAATTTATGTTGGTGATGGTAAGGGCCTATCAATACATTGCATTGTTTCTTCTCATCCCGTTCTTCCTCATTCTTAGTATACTCTTAAACTTCGAGACATTCTTCATGTTCCTGAGATTTCTAAAAATTTACTTAGTATACCTAAACTCTGTCTTGATAATAATGTTCTAATTGCTTTCTTTTCAAATGTTTGTGTCATCAAGGATCTCAAACTAATCAGCTTCTCTATAAAGGTCATCTCAAAAGGAATCGTTCAGGACTTCATGGTGTTTCTCTGTCATTCCAGTCATCTATTCAGTCTTCCGAGTCAAAGTCTTCTGAGCTGCCTCAAAAATTTGCCTATATGTCAACTATTGAGTGTACTTCTATTTCTAATTCGTCTAATAATGTGTCCCATTTCCTCTTCTTCTGTATTTCGCTTATGGCATAATCGGTTAGGCCATCCTACTTCTATTGTCGTCAATCAAGTTCTGAAAGCTTGTAATCTGGCTCACAATAATAAAAATTCTAATTCTACTTTTTACAATGCCTGTTGCTTTGGAAAGGCTCATCGTCTTCCTTATTCCTTGTCCAAGTTGACTCATTCTCAACCTCTAGAGCTTATTCATTCGGATATCTGGGGTCCTGCTCCCCATACATCTCTTGGTGGTTATAAATACTATGTTCACTTTACTGATGCTTATACACGATACACATGGCTTTATCCATTGCATGCTAAATCTGAGGTTTATGGTATCTTTCTTGAATTCAAGAAAATGGTTGAGCTACAACTAGGTTATCAAATTAAAGCGTTTCAATCTGATTCTGGTGCTGAATACTTGAAGATTGGTACATTTTTAAAAGAGAATGGCATTATTCATAGACTGTGTTGTCACTATACACATGAATAGAATGGTTTGGCTGAAAGAAAACACAGGTCTATTATTGAGACTAGTTTAACTCTTTTAGCAAATGCTTGTCTTCCTCTTATTTTATGGGTTGATGCCTTTTCAACTACTATATACTTGTTTAATCGCCTTCCTTGCAAGGCTATTGGAGGTGTCTCTCTATTTGAAAAGCTATTTGATAAAGCTCCAAGTTACACACATCTCACCATATTTGGTTGTGCTTGTTTTCCTCTCACAAAGCACTATAACAAGCATAAGATGGATTTTTGATCAGTGTAGTGTATTTTTCTTGGTTACAACCAGTCTCATAAAGGTTATAGATGCTGGGATCTAAAAGACAGGATGTATATCTCCAGAGATGTCTTGTTCAATGAGAATGAGTTTCCCTATTCTAAACTTGTGTCTTCCTCTCCTTCTTGTTCCAAATCTGAGTCTAGTCTTTTGCTTTTATCCTCCCCACCTATTCTTCCTTCTTGTCAAAATCAGTGCAATGACACTAATGTTTTAACATAGATAGTCTCTGATGCTTGTAGATCTCTCAATATTGCTCAAAGTTCACCTCCTCCTACTTGTGCAATGCCCTCCTCATCTTCTGCTGATTCAGGCAATGAGCCCCCTTTACCAGTAGTAGCTCAACCTACTAGAAGAATGGTAACAAGGTCAATGAATGGCATTTATAAGCCCAAAGTTTATGCTGTTGAGACAAAACCTTCTTGTGTTTCTAAAGCTCTTGCTTCTCCAGTTTGGAAAAAGGCTATGGATGAAGAGTATGAGGCTCTCATAAGGAACAAAACCTAGCATCTTGTCAGTTTACCACCTAATAGACAAGCTATTGGTTGTAAATGGGTCTAGAAATGTAAGACTAATCCTGATGGGAGTACAGCAAAGTTCAAAGCTTGTTTGGTGGCCAAAGGATTTCATCAGAGAGAGGGTTTTGATTTTAATGAAACCTTCAGTCCAGTTGTAAAACCAATGACTATTCGAGTTGTCTTATCAATTGCAATAGCTCAAAATTGGTGTATAAGGCAGATTGACGTAAACAATGCATTCTTAAATGGTTCTCTTCATGAAGAGGTATATATGCAACAACCACCAGGTTATGAGCATAGTGATAGAACAATGGTATGAAAGCTAGATAAAGCCCTGTGTGGCTTAAAATAGGCTCCTAGGGTGTGGTTTGAGAAGTTGACTAATGCTCTTCATAAGCTTGGTTTTACAAGTAGCAAGTGTGATCAATCTCTATTTATTAGATTTTCTGGCTCAAAAATCATGTATGTTTTAGCATATGTTGATGACATAATTTTGACTGGAAATGTTACTTCAAGTATTTTAGAAGTAGTGACAGCCTTAAATAGGAAGTTCTCTCTTAAAGATCTGAGTAATCTCAATTATTTTTTGGGTATAGAAGTACATCGCATGCCTAGTGGAGTTTTATTTTTGTCTTAAGCAAAGTACATTAGTGACATTTTAAAGAAAGCAAGTATGTCTACTGCCAAAGGAGTTAATACTCCTATTATTTCCAGCTTAAAACTTTTCAAGGAAGGTCCTAATAGCTTTGAAAGCCAGAACTTTATCGTTCTATTGTTAGGGCATTACAGTATGCAACAATTACTAGACTTGAAATTAGCTTCTCAGTTAATAAAGTGTGTCAGTTCATGCAATCACCACTGAAAGAGCATTGGGTAGCAGTTAAACATATTTTGAGATATCTTGCAGGGACTATTAATTTTGGTCTCAGACTTCTTCCTTCAAAGAATAGGTCTTTGACTGCCTTGTGTGATGCTGACTGGGCAGCTGATTGTAATGACAGGTGAAGCACAACTGGTTATTTATATTTTGGACATAATTTGGTTTTATGGTCTTTAAAGAAGCAACCTATAGTAGCAAGATCAAGTACTAAAGTTGAATATAGGAGCATGGCGTCTATAGTAACTAAAGTACTATGGCTTAAATCACTATTTTCTAAACTCACAGTCAAGCTTCCTACTATTCCTCAGATCCTATGTGATAACCAGGAGCAGTATTAATCACAGCAAATCCAGTTTTGCACGCAAGGACCAAACACTTAGAACTAGATCTTCATTTTGTTCATGAATGGGCTATTAGGAAAGAGATTCGAGTCTGCCATATACTAGCTACAAGTCAAATTGCTGATTGTTTGACCAAACCAATTTCCAACTCATTGTTTGCAGATTTTAGAAGAAATCTACGGGTTGGAAAGTGCATCAAATTGAGGGGGAATGATAATGTAATCAAGTAGTTAGCATTGTAACTAACTTATAATCTAGTCTAGTTGTATCTGAACTAATCATAACTAGTCTTGTACAGTTGTACTCTACTCACGTGGACCTATGTATATGTGTACTATTCACCACTCATTAATAATACAATCAGATCATTCACTCATATACTTTCTACATCACTCTCTCTCTGATTACTTTATTATGCACGGGGCTGTTTGGATTTGCTTTTCGAAAGCAATTATTATGCTGGATAAGCATATGCGTAAAAGAACAAGCAAACAAAATCCAAAAGGCGCTACCAA